CTCCATGACAGCATGGATGGAACTGGAGAATATTGTGCTCAGTGAAATAAGCCAGGCCATGAAAGACAAATACCATATGATCTCACCATTAACAGGAACCTAATCAACAAAATGAACAAGCAAGCAAAGTATAGCCAAAAGCATTGAAATTGAGAACAGGATGACAGTGATCAGAAGGGAGAGGGGAGAGAATAAAGGGGGGAAAAGGGTCAGGGGTATATAGAAACAATTTTAAAGGACATATGGACAACAACAAGGGGGGGTTGGAAATGGGGGATGGAGGTGAGGAGGGCTGGGGTGGTGGGGAGGGGTGGGAGTAAAAGGAAGAAAACTGTATGTGAAAAATAATTTTTTTAATTGTAAAACTAACTAAATAAATAATAAATAATGACTATATATAAGAATTATTAGCTGCTTTTTTATTTATTTAAAGCAAATCATTATGAATTAAGATGAAGACTGATTTTAGATTACATCCTATTAATGAAGAAAAATCAAATGCTGAGCCAATTTTATCACCAATGGACCATAAAAATAATTTCAGCTAAATAATATTTCAAAAATGTCAGCAAATGAGAACATTTATATGTGAATTTCAGGGACTATTTTTTCATGTTAGGTTAAATTTTTCATCTTACCATTTGTATTTAAAAATTAGTAAACTTCCAAGTAATCGTGATAAAATCAGCTTTGACCTCTGTTAAAGAAATACTCAAATGAATCAACACCTCCAAACCTAGTCTTTGTAAACAGTGGTCATTCTCAAGATGCCTCTCCAAAAGCCCCTGGTAAAAGAGATCTCTGGGCCACTTTTACAAGCTTTCTACATCTTCATTACAAATAGCAATAAGAGGTAACAATATTTAGCAGCAATTTTGGGCTTGGTGTCCAAAGAGTTAGACTGCTCTCCTTATGTAGCATTTCTTGACACTTCTGAAATGTTCTGCCATGATTCCTTGAGTCTTTATAAACCATTAAAACAAAAGTCTGTAAAGTCAGCTCTCCCAGCCTCAGCTCTAGCATTTTCTGTTAGCTGAAATCCAAAGTCATTTTATGATTTCCATTCATATCACTACCTCATTTAACCCAATGACTTACAATTACCTTTCCATTTCCCAAGTAAGTTTCAGAGCCTCTAGGTTTTTGCAATTTTAATCTCATATTTCTTTTCTTTTTTGGAAAACCTGGTTTTTGACACAGACTTGAGTTCTTCCTACCTCCTTGTCTGTGTGAAACTGGGGATGGAATGGTATGTTTACTTACCCTTCTAGGTTTGCTCCTCTGGCACCAATCTGAATATGCATTCTTTACCAGACCTGTCATCACCACTTTGCCAATCCGAATATTTAGATTAAAAAAAAGTACTACTTCTAAAACTAAACAACCTGCATTGCTGCAGCCAGACGTAAACTCTCCTCCTGTCAAATCTTCAGGGTAGTTTTTTTAGTATGTTTCTTACATTACCAACTAAGTGGTCGGTATGCAGGAATGAAAGATACTTTGAATAGGCACTACATTTCGTGTCCCTCAGTGCCATGTGCTAGAAACAATGTTCAGTACATCTTAGGGGATTGCCATAATCAAACTCAATCAATGACAGCTTTATTCATCCACACAACTCTGCACCATTAAAGAGTTCAAGAGAGCCCTGGGTGGTATGGCTCAGTGGATTGAGTGCTGACCTAAGGACCAAAGGGTTGCTGGTTCAATTCCCAGTCAGGGCACATGCCTGAGTTGCAGGCAAGGCACACAAGAGGCAACCACACAGTGATGTTTCTTTCCCTCCTTTTCTCACTCCCTCCTCTTCTCTCTAAAAATAAATAAATGAAATATTTTTTTAAAAGTTTAAGAGACCCAATGTTGATACTTAATTGTTTTGTCAATATGTGACCAACTATTGCAGAAATTAACTTCTCATATATCTTTGATAATTTTGACAAGCAATATAGTCATGTAAACTTTATTTAAAAAGTATTCAAGTTGGTGATGATGAACCATGAAATATGCTAGTGATCCCATTTTAGTGAATATTAATCCATGCCTCTACCATTTAACAAGTTCTATGATAAATAATTTACCCACTGGAACCAGTTCACACAGCCTAAGGGATCCCCCCAAAACACAAAACAGAAGCACTCAAGACTAAATAGTTAGCAATAGCTATGTCCTAATAGATGTGCATGACCATTCCTAGGTTTAAATAAAGAATCAAACTTTGTCAAAGTAGAAATAAAAAAAATAAGAAATTGAAGTAATGGTATCAAGTATGAGCAATAAATGTTATGATTCAATACAATAAAAACATTCAATTAAAAAATATGAAAAGCTAATACTTACTAGTACTTTTTAGCTAATTTTTATCAGTCTGTAAGAAATATGATATTGTAAGAACTCATTTTTATTTTGTTCCTTAGAAATCCATTTTCTCCATTAGTCAAACTAAATGCAACATCAACATCATTATTACTATCATCATCATCACCATCATCATCACCATCATCTTTGTTTAGATTTCAATAATAATGGGTATAATTATTAACTATGTGAAAATGAATAAACAAAAACCTGATTTAATAAGGAAGTGAGAGGCTAGAAGAGAAAACCCTCATGCACATGTAGACCAGCTGACCCTAACAGGAAGAGACCTACCTTGCATCTCCAACCAGAAGTAGTACTACATTACTACTGCAGCAGGAGGAAGATTCCTCCTTACTCAATAACAGCTCAGCCAATGGGAGGCTGCCGTAGCTCAGCAATGAAAAGTCACTATACTTTGAACTTTCCGTTTCCTCCAGTGGACTCTTTATATGCAAGAGCCCCTTCCAAGTCCATAAAATTCTTCTCTCTACTTGTGTGTGGCTTACCATTAGACTGCATGTCCCAAATTACAATTTTTTACTGTTCCCAAATAAACTATTTTGCTAAAGAAACATTTGGCTGTCTGTTTTTTTGATCCAGGCACCTAAACTACATTACTTCATTTAATCCTTTGAGAACACCTCTACAGTTGGTGGTGCTGCCCCATTTTAAGGAAGAGGACAGTGGTAGAGTGACTGAAGTCACTCCCCAGGGGCATGCAGCTAGCAAGGGCAGGCTAGAGATTTGCCAGAGTCTGCCTTTGTCCTCAGCCTGCACTCTTTCCACCAGACTCCAATACTTTCCTCAAACATTCTTCTAACCTGACCACTTTTGGAACCCTTCAAAGTAAATCTCTCCGACAACTTTGGGCCAATAAAGGTCATGACTTACTTGCTGAAGACCATATAAATGTTTTATTTACCTGGACAGAGTCCATGGTGAGGGATGAAGTTTACAAATTGCATGGGAGTTTCAGTTTTAGAAGAGGCTTGCACTATCTCCCACCATTCAATGATAGGGTAGGGAGGAAAAGTTTAAGCTGAAACAATAATTTCCCCCAAACGTCATGAGTTCACTCATATCTGTGCCTCTGGTCTTCATTCCCAGAGGGATTCAGTCATCATCTGCAGGCCACCTTCCTACTGTGTTTGCTCAATGTTCTAAGAGGACTGCCAAAGGACTGCCAAAATGAAACCAGAAGGCAGGGCTGAGCAGGAAAACCCATTCTACATTTTTAGGCTGTCTCTGAAAGGAAGGGGTTAGATTCAAATCCGCTAGGCATTCTCTTTCTCATACTTCCACTTCTTGATGCAAATTTTTATTAATAATATCCATGTCAGCTTACAGATGAAAAGTTGGCAGAAGTAAGTACAGTTTTTGTTTTTTCCCCTGGAGAAATACACATATGTACACACATATAAATATGGAGTGAAGTAGATGCTAGATACTATTTCCCCTCTATAATGTGCAAATTTTCTGCAATGAGTATGCATTTATTTCACAACTTATAAAAATCATAACCATCATTTAAATATTTTTCTCCCTACTCCCATTACTTTCTCATCAAAAGCTGCATGACCCTTAAATCTGCTGCATTTTATAAGGCAATAAACAAGAGCAAAACCTAGAACAAGAATAGGGGTATTTAAGAGCAAGTAGTAGAAAAAAAATTTTAATTAGTGTGGTTATTATTTTCAGAAGCAAACTGATTAAAAGACAGGAGTAGATAAAAAATACCTCAAAGTCTCATAAGACCTATTTGGCTACTCATCAACTTAGTGATTATGCATATGTGAAAATAATGTATATTCAGGTACATGATTCATCTGTAGCCCAGTTCAGTTTTGAAAAATACAAGACAAATTCTTCAAAACTGGCAATGACAAATAATTTAATGGAACATATTACTATAATATCTTATAAATATTCTACAGCAACAGGTAACAATGATATTAATAATCACTGTCAACAACAATGCCTGACATTTATCAAATGCTTTGTAGGGATTAGGTAATGGACTCAGTACTTTAAATGCATAATGTCTTGGAATAATCAAAGAGCCCAATGACATAGGTATTTTTCTTTTTCTTATTCCTATTTCATGGATGAGGAAACTGAGGCTTAGAGAAGTTAAATAATTTATGCAAATAGCAGCAACGGGACTCAAAATCACTTTTGTCTTAAACACAATGCTAAAACCCAAATGTCTCCAAAATACCACTGAAATCAGTTAAGTTGGCCTCTCGGATCCACAGCCTCTGAAACAATTCCTTCTAAGGATAGACCAAAAATGTGGTAATGATAGAAACTTCAAAAAAATAAAAAACTTTTAAAAACTCTTAAAATTTGGAACTGAGGGGACTATTAAAAGTAAATGTTAATTCCCAAGACACTGCATTGCCACAGGAACTCATTAGAAAAATCCTGCTTCCCTTATTAAAAAGAAATTCTACCAAAGGTTTTCCCCGATTTTTTTTAGAATCTGTGCATCTGAACTAAAATCCTTGCATTCTTCTTTATTGTCTGTATATTTCATGATATCATATAAAGCAGATTACATGGGTATTTGGGAAAAGTATGCATGTAAACCATAACTTTCCAGTTACACTAAGAGTATAAAAGTTTATAACTCTGGACCATACCTTGGTTTTCATGAACTTGGAGTGACTTTTGTAAACTTCTATTTGTTTGATCTCTTCTTCACGGTCCTCAGTGTTCAGCACACCATTGGCTTTTAACATCTGGATCTCATCCTCAAGATCCCTTATGTTTCGCTCCAATGAAGCAATTTTTGTGTCCTGTTGGTTAAAATAAAGAAAAGGAAAAAAAGAAAGTTATTTTTCAGTATCATCAAAACATAATTTCATATAGAACTTTTGGTAGTAATACATTAACTATGATGTAAAGTAGCCTTGAATTCAGAACATATTTTTTCTCTTTTGAAGATCATTTATGAGATTATTTTTTAAGCTCCCAATAACAATCATATCTCAGTATAATACAGAGAATTACCTAGATGTATTTGTCTAATATCTGGGAATCAAATTACCAAAACAAGTGACAAAAGCGATGTAAAGTGTTCAAAAATAAAACACCATTTAAGTGACCGAATTGGTAACTTAAGATATAGTTTACTACTCTATATTCTTGAGTCTACTTTGTAAACACAAAAACGGTTTGTCCATGTGTGTATTCTGTGGCTGGCTTTATAAGGCATGCTTGGAATTTGACTGTGAGAGGAAAGGAAATTAAAATCTACTAATGGGGAAAAATTCTCATCTAAAATGCATAAGTAAAATTAAATAACAAAATCTTGACAGTATCAATGATACATTAAATATTTAAAATGTATAGCAACTGGAAATAATATATCACAATGCTATGATTTATTTGGCAAGCAGTCAGCTTCCTGTGTGACAAAAAACATTACTGCCTTGAAGGGCATCTCAAACCTATTCATTTACGGACTCAAAAAAACTAGAATGTGGAAATCATTGAGAAAAATCAACCATACCCACATTTTTTAAACAGGAAATGACATATTCTACACACAAGATAGAGAATAACAAGAAATGATGTATAAGAAAGTACAGAAGAGATAGCTCTTATACGGGGGAAAAATTCCCCAAACTTGATTATCAGACTCAAATCAAGGTTGTGAATGAAACATGGAAAGTTTCACTTTACGTTTTCTCACCATCACCATCCAACCACCACCTAATTGTACAATTCCAAGAGCTTATATACATTTATAACTGAATAATAATTAAAAATACAACACCAACTTAATTTTTAACAATTAATTTTCTAGGACCTAAAATACTAAGAGTTCTAAAAGTAAAGACAATGACTATGCTATTCAATTCATAACTAATTCATTAAAATAACTTAAAACAAATGACTCTATTCTGACTTTGTGGCTATTTTCTACTTTATTTTCCTGTAGTATGTAATCATTATTATCATTAACACTGTCATCATAGTTAAAAGGAAAACAAGGAGCGGCAACAGCCACTTATTGGGCTCCACTATCTATGTGCCAAGATGTAAGAGCTCACAATGCTAAACAAATTCTACTAATTCTCAGGAAAAAAAACCCAAGAAGATGAAATAAAGAGATGCTAAATTTTGCAAGAGTATGGACTGACACATTCTATAGTATTCCATTTGCCTTTAAAAACAGCATTTACTGCATTTTTTCCAGTTATAAAATACACTTTAAACTCATTGAAAATAGAGAAAATCCCTTCTAATCCCACCATGCAGAGATAATCATCACTAATGCTTTTATGTATAGCCTGCCAGTCTTTTTATGTTTTAGATGTAATTTCTGAAGTCTTATGTACTTCCAATTTGAGTGAGGGGGGTATTATGGACTGAATGTGTGTGCACATCCAAAATTAATATTTTGAAACTGTGTGCCCTAATAGGATGATATTTAGAAATGAGGCCTTTGGAAGGTAACCAAGGTCAGATGGGTCATTAAAATAGGGCCCTTATGATGGGATTAATGACCTCAGGAGAAGACTAACTAGAAAGCTTGATATCTCTCTCTCTGTCTCTCTCCCTGCCCCACCAACATGAGAACACAGCAAGAAGGGGACCATCTGCCAGCCAAAAAGGCAGCTCTCTACAGAATCCTACCATGCTGGCACCCTGATCTTAGACTTTCAGCCTCCAGAACTCTGAAAATTTTGGAGCTTCCAATCAAGATAGCAGAATAGGAAAATGCATTACTGGCATCCTCCTATGACTGTATCAAAATTACAACTAAACAGCAGAACAACCATCATTGACAACTACCTAAAATCTAGCTGACAGAAGTACTATAACAATGGCTATAGTAAGAAGCCATGCTGAACTTGAAGGAGGGGCAGAAACATGGAACACTTTGGTCCCACACCCACATGTGGCGATAAAAAGTGAGAAGGGATATCTCCCCACTTCAGTTCTCCACTCATGAACGACAGGTCTGGGCCCTACACCAGTCTCGCCAGCCTAGACCACCAGCGCTGAAAAAAGAAGTCCTCATAACTTCTGGTTGTGAAAACCAGTGGATTGTGACGGAGTAAGACAAAGGGCTTTTGGAGTCCCAGGCATTTCCCATAAAAGGCCTGCTCACTGACTCACCTGCTGACAGATTCACTCGCTGTGAGCTCCAGCACTGAGTAGCAGCCCAAAGGGCGCCAGGGACATAAGAGGTGGAACTGATTTGTCTTCCTTTAAGGCAGGGGCTGAAGGAGCACCTTTCCCCCAGACACTGTTCCTTTGCTAAGCCCTACTGCTTCAGATGCAGGTGAGAACCTTACCTGAGTCTCCATCAACCTGGCTCACACTATTCACCCTGCCCTGGTGCTTCCCTGAGACCCCATCCACCCACTTGCAGGACCATCCAAGCCACTTTCAGTGGCTTTTCCATACAAATGGCCTGTTTTGGTTCAGGCTCCATATTTCCTAAATATCTCAAGAACTCACAAAACTCATAACAAGCAGCATCTGACTGCAGTGTGCTCTGTACCTCTTGTTCAGTGGCCCCAGGCCTAGCACTAGTGGCAGCTGGACTTGGTACACACCCTTGCATTTCCTGGGCACCTCCAAACCCAGCACAAATAGCAGCCATCTGCAGATCACTTTATAGCTCATGACCTATGGCCCTGGGAAGGCAGAGGTGGCCACTGACTTTGGCCTGCATTTCCTGGGAGGCACCAGCCCCAGTGAACCCAATGTCCAGCCTCAGACCACAGAGTGCCACCCAACCGCCTCAACAAGTGACACACTCAAGGGTGGATTTGGCAGGCATCAGAGCCTCACTGAAGCAAGTTATGTACCTTGAGGTTGGCTTCTGCATAGCAGCAAGTCTGTTGTAGTCATGGCCGTCCTCATAGCCAACAGGTCTGGGGATAAATCTCCCCCATTGATGCACCAACAGCATTCAAGGCTCAATTACAACAGAAGGGTGCACACAGCCCATGCAGGGGGTGCACCTAGAGCACCTGGCTTGGGTGACTGGGGAAGCTATGCCACTGGGTCCTACAGGAAACCTACTACACAAGACCACTCTCTCAAGACTGGGCAACATAGCAGATCTACCTAACTTAATAAACACAGGGAGGCAGCCAAAATGATGAGACAAAGAAACATGGTCCAAGTGGAAGAACAAAACTCCAGAAAAAGAACTAAATAAAATGTATGCAAACAAACTACCAGATACAGAATTCAAAGCAATGGTTATGAAGATGTTCAAGGAACTTAGTGAGAACTTCAACAACATTAAAAAGGACATAGAAACCACAAAAAAATCAGAAATGAAGGATACAATAACTGAAATGAAGACTACATTAAAGAAAATCAATAGTAGATTAGATGAAGCAGAAGACTGAATCAGCAATTGAAAGATGAGATAGCATAAAACACTCAATCAGAGCCACAGAAAGAAAAAAAAATAAGTAAAGATAATATAAGGGACCTCTGGGACAACATTAAGTGTAACAATATCTGTTTCATAGTGGTACCAGAAGGAAAAGAGAGAGAACAAAGAGTTGAGAACCTATTTGGAGAAATAATGACCTAAAATTTCCCTAATTTGATGAAGAAAAAAGGCACAAAAATCTGGGATGCACAAAGAATCCCAAAGGAAATGAACCCAAAGAGGCCCATATTAAGTAAGAGACATTATAATTAAAATGGCAAAGGCTAAAGACAAAAAGAGAATCTTAAAAGCAGCAAGAGAAGAGAGGTTAGTTACCTACAAGGATCCCCCAAAAGACTTTCAGCTGATTTCTCAACAGAAACTTTACAGGTCAGAAGGGATTGGCAAAAAATAGAGATGAAAAGCAAAGACATGCAACCAAGATTACTGCACCCAACAAAGCTATCATTTAGAATCAAAGGATAGATAAAGAGCTTCTTAGGTATGACAAAGCTAAAGGAATTCATCACCATCAAACCAGTAGTACAAGAAATGTTAAACAATCTTCTTTAAAAATAATAAGGAAAAAGATTTAAAATATGAATGATAAAATATCAATAACTACACACCTATCAACAATTACTTTAAATGCAAGTAAGATTAAATACTCCAATCAAAAGACATATGCTGGCTGAATGGGTAAGAAAGCAAGACCCTTATATAAGCTACCCACATTTTTGTTTTTTTAAGACCTACTTAAGACTGAAAGACACACAGAGACTGAAATCAAAGAGATAGAAAAAGATATTTCATGAAAATAAAAATGAAAAGAAAAAGCTAGGCTAGCAATACTCCTACCAGACAAAATAGACTTTGAAACAAAGACTATAAGAAGAGATAAAGAAGGACCCAGCAATTCCACTTCTCAGTATTTATCTGAAGAAAACCAAAACCCTAAATCAAAAAGGCATATGCACCCATATGTTCACTGCAGCATTATTTACAATAGCCAAGATATGGAAGCAACCTAAGTGTACATGAATAAATGAAAGGATAAAGAACAAGTGGTACATATATACAATGAAGTACATTTCAGCCATAAAAAAGAATGACATCTTGCCATCTGCAACAACACGGATGGACCTATAGAATATTGTGCTGGCTGAAATGAGTCAGAAAGAGAAAGACAAATGCCATATCATTTCACTTACATGTGGAATCTAAAAACAAAATAAACCAACAAGCAGAAAAGAAACAGACTCATACTTACAGAAAACATTTGGAAGGTTGTCAGATATAAGGGTGATCAAGGGGGTGGGCCAAAAAGGTGAAGGGACAAAGAAGTACAAATTGGTAGATACAGAATACTCCATGAGGATATAAAGTACA